GGGGGGGCAGTGTATGTGTAGGGCAATGTGTGTATGTGGAGCAGTGTGTGTGTATGGGGCAGTGTGTGTATGGGGGTAGTGTGTGTATGGGGGCAGTGTGTGTAATGGGGGGCAGTGTGTGTAATGGGGGGCAGTGTGTGTAATGGGGGGGGCATGTGTGGTATGGGGGGGCAGTGTGTGTAATTGGGGGGGAAGGATGCTTTTAAATAATATTTTTTTTTATTTTATTTAATAAAATAAATATCCTATGTCCCCCCTCCCTTCTTACCTTTACTGGGGAGGAGGGGGGACATATTTCGATCCCTGGTGGTCCCAGTGGGATTCCCTGGTGGTCCAGTGTGGAGAGTGAACTCTAGCCCGCGCTCCCGGGCTAGAGTTCACTCTCGCGAGATTTGGAGCGTTGCCGTGGTAACCGCGGCAACGCTCCAAATCTCGAGCGAGGAGGACCCGGAGGAGCTGCAGCCTGAGCTCCGGGTCCTCTCTCTCACTCCCTCCCTCCGCCACCGGCTGTAAGCATGGTGCCTGCGGACCGGGGAGGGAGATCTCTGATCTTCCTCCCCGGTCCGCAGGCACATTGCACGGCTGGCAGGGGAGGGAGACCGGCGGATTTCTCGGGGGGGGCAATTGCCCCGTTGCCCCCCCCCTGGATCTGCCAATGCGTAGGACCCACCTGAGAGGTTTGCCTTGACCTGGCAGGTGGGCTAAAAACTCTCATGATGACCATTGGAGCAAAAATAACCTCAATTTGTTTAAATATGCATAAGGATTTGGGAAGAGCGCAGGTAACTTTTTTTCTATGGTTTTTACTGTATGTATTGGGGCTGATGTGGACTGTGGTCCTTGCTGCCGCCCAAGAGTAGTGGGAGTTTGAGCGCAGGACCTGTTTTTTTGTATTTGTATTCAATATATTTATAATTGCACTATGTTTATAAGATGATGTTGATAATAGGAATATTTTTAACACCTTCTCTAAAATGGCAGCAAAGTGCCAGGTTTCAGAATGGCTCAATGGTTTAGTTACCTTTTATCCTGATTCACATCTTCAGCAAAGGTCCAGAGCTGATGGACCCAATGCGTCTGTATTTTAGCCTGGAGTAGAGTATAAGTAGGTGAGTAAATGGGATGTTATCCTCACAAAAGAGTGGGAGAAGTCTCTAGTACAAAGAAAGAGAGTTTACCTCCATACTCCTTCCCATTGCTTGAGACATACATCCACATTAATACCCACAGAGAGATTTATACCCACCCACAGAGAGACTTATATCCATATTATAACCCCTTGGACAGATACTTACATCCATACTCCATACTGTATTCCAAGGAGTAACTTACATCCATACTGTATACCATGGAGAGACTTTCATCCATACTGTATCACATGGCAGATACTTACATCCATACTGTATCTCATGGAGAGACTTACATCCATATTGTATCCCATGGAGAGACTTACATCCATACTGTATCCCATGGCAGAGACTTACATCCATACTGTATCCCATATACTGTATCCCATGGAGAGACTTACATCCATACTGTATCCCATGGCAGAGACTTACATCCATTCTGTATTTCATGGCAGAGACTTACATCCATACTGTATCTCATGGAGAGACTTACATCCATACTGTATTCCATGGAGAGACTTACATCCATACTGTATCATATAGACTTAAATCTATATTGTATCTCATGGAGAGACTTACATCCATACTATGTCCCATGGAGAGACTTACATCCCTACTGTATGTCATGGACAGAGACTTACATCCATACTATATCCCACGGAGAGACTTACATGCATACTGTAGCTCATGGAGAGACTTACATTCATACAGTATCTCATGGAGAGACATACATCCATACTGTATCTCATGGAGAACCTTACAGCCATACTGTATCTCATGGAGAGCCTTACAGCCATACTGTATCCCATGGAGAGACTTATATCCATACTGTATCTCATGGAGAGACTTACATTCATACTGTATCCCATGGAGAGCCTTACAGCCATACTGTATCTCATGGAGAGCCTTACAGCCATACTGTATCCAAGGAGAGACTTACATCCATACTGTATCTCATGGACAGATACTTACATCCACACTGTATCCCATGGAGAGACTTACATCCATACTGTATTCCATGGAGAGACTTACATCCATACTGTATCATATAGACTTAAATCCATATTGTATCTAATGGAGAGACGTATATCCATATTGTATCTCAAGGCAGAGACTTACATCCATACTATACCTCATGGAGAGACTTACATCCATACTGTATCCCATGGAGAGACTTACATCCACACTGTATCCCATGGTAGAGACTTACATCCACACTGTATCCCATGGAGAGACTTACATCCATACTGTATTCCATGGAGAGACTTACATCCATACTGTATCATATAGACTTAAATCCATATTGTATCTAATGGAGAGACGTATATCCATACAGTATCCTATAGACTTACATCCATATTGTATCTCATGGACAGAGACTTACATCCATACTGTATTCCATGGAGAGACGTACATCCATACTGTATCATATAGACTTACATCCATATAGTATCTCATGGAGAGACTTATATCCATACTGTATCCCATTACTTACATCCATACTGTATCCTATAGACTTATATCTATATTGTATCTCATGGAGAGACTTACATCTATACTGTATTCCATGGAGATACTAACATCCATACTGTACCTCATGGAGAGACTTACATCCATACTGTAACCTATAGACTTACATCCATATTGTATCCCATGGAGATACTTACATCCATACTGCATCTCATGGAGAGACTTAGATCCATATTGTATCCCATGGCAGAGACTTACATCAATACTGTATCTCATGGCAGAGACTTTCATCCATGCTATATCCCACGTAGAGACTTACATCCACACATTATCCTATGGCAGAGACTTACCTCCATATTGTATCCCATGGAGAGACTTACATCCATACTATAGCCCATGGAGAGACTTACATCCCTACTGTATCTCATGGACAGAGACTTACATCCATACTGTAACCCATGGAGAGATTTACATCAATACTGTATCTCATGGAAAGACTTACATCCATATTGTATCCCATGGAGATACTTACATCCATACTCTATCCCATGGAGAGACTTACATCCATACTGTATCTCATGGAGAGACTTACATCCATACTGTATCCCATGGAGAGATTTACATCCATACTGTATCTCATGGCAGATACTTACATCCATATTGCATCCCATGGAGAGACTTACATCCATATTGTATTCCATGGCAGAAACTTACACCCATACTCTATCCCATGCAGAGACTTACATTCATACTGTATCTCATGGAGAGACTTACATCCATACTATGTCCCATGGAGAGACTTACATCCATACTTTATCTCATGGACAGAGACTTACAACCATACTGTATCCCATGGAGAGATTTACATCCATATTGTATCCCATGGAGAGACTTATATCCATATTGTATCTCATGGAGAGACTTATATCCATATTGTATCCCATGGAGAGACTTACATCCATACTTTATCCTATGGCAGAGACTTACCTCCATATTGTATCCCATGGAGAGACTTACATCCATACTGTATCCCATGGAGAGACTTACATCCATACTGAATCCCATGGCAGAGACATACATAAATACTGTATCTCATGGAGAGACTTACATCCATACTTTATCCCATGGCAGAGACTTACCTCCATATTGTATCCCATGGAGAGACTTACATCCATACTGTATCCAATGGAGAGACTTACATCCCTATTGTATCCAATGGCAGAGACTTACATCAATACTGTATTTCATGGCAGAGACTTATATCCATACTGTATCCCATGGAGAGACTTTAATCCATACAGTATCCCATGGAGAGACTTTAATCCATACTGTATCTCATGGAGAAACTTATCCATATCGTATGCCATTCACAGATACTTACATCCATACCATATCCCAAAGAGAGACTTACATCCATATTGTATCTTATGGAGATACTTACATCCATGCTGTATCCCATGAAGAGACTTACACCCATACTGTATCCCATGGATAGACTAACATCCATACTATATTCCATGGAGAGACTTTAATCCATACTGTATCTCATGGAGAAACTTATCCATATTGTATGTCATTCACAGATACTTACATCCATACCATATCCCAAAGAGAGACTTACATCCATATTGTATCTTATGGAGACACTTACATCCATGCTGTATCCCATGAAGAGACTTACATCCATACTGTAACCCATGGAGAGATTTACATCAATACTGTATCTCATGGAGAGACTTACATCCATATTGTATCCCATGGAGAGCCTTACAGCCATACTGTATCTCATGGAGAGCCTTAGAGCCCTTCTGTATCCCATGGAGAGACTTATATCCATACTGTATCTCATGGAGAGACTTACATTCATACTGTATACCATGGAGAGCCTTACAGCCATACTGTATCCCATGCAGAGACTTACATCCATACTGTATCTTATGGAGAGACTTACATCCATACTATGTCCCATGGAGAGACTTACATCCCTACTGTATCTCATGGACAGAGACTTACATCCATACTGTATCCCATGGAGAGATTTACATCAATACTGTATCTCATGGAGAGACTTACATCCATATTGTATCCCATGTAGAGACTTACATGCATACTGTATCTCATGGAGAAATTTACATTCATACAGTATCTCATGGAGAGACTTACATCCATACTGTATCCCATGGAGAGCCTTACAGCCATACTGTATCTCATGGAGAGCCTTACAGCCATACTGTATCCCATGGAGAGACTTATATCCATACTGTATCCCATGGAGAGACTTACATTCATACTGTATCCCATGGAGAGCCTTACAGTCATACTGTATTTCATGGAGAGCCTTACAGCCATACTGTATCCCACGGAGAGACTTATATCCATACTGTATCTCATGGAGAGACTTACATCCATATTGTATCCCATGGAGAGACTTACATCCATTCTGTATCCCATGCAGAGACTTACATCCATACTGTATCCCATGGATAGACTAACATCCATACTGTATTCCATGGAGAGACTTACATTCATACTGTATCTCATGGAGAGACTTACATCCATGCTGTGTCTCATGGAGAGACTTACATTTATACTGCATCTCATAGACATAGAAAGAGACACCTACCTCACGTTATGGCATATGAGCCTAATAAACCCCATGGATATAGGCTTACAACTGCACTTCATGATCTGAGACTTAAATCTACATGCTGTACGATACCCTATACAGCCTGTTACACCTTTATTAAAGTGGATAAATTATCATAATAATCAATGTATAAATGTAGTCTGAGCAAATCAACATGAGACTTCCAGATTTATACACTGTTAATGTAGGACAAATAAATAATCTCGATGTTGTAGACAAAATAATGCATTCAAATATATACAGTGTTTGTGATTTGTTAATACCCACTGTTTAAATGTTTCGAAACCATGTTGATTGATATACTAGATATTCTATTTTCTAAGAACATTTTTCTGAAGTTCATTTTGTACATAATGGACCCCGGCAAAGCTGTTTATTATTAAATCGACAAACATTTCACTGGAACCTAATTACACCTACGTAATAACATAAAGATTAATTAGTATTTAGGTCATTGCAGCTTCATTATAGAAAATGAACAGCAAGCAGAGTAATTATCTCACGTATTACCAGATTTAACTTCCTAACAAGCCGCATGCTAATCTGTGCGCTCTAACATTATCGTTTGACATTAAATACTGGATTAATCAGAGAGATAATGAAATAAGATACGGTATAGGAGCATCTATGAAGGTATAGTAGATTAGCATTCCTTATTTTTAAGTTAATGGTCAGGTAGGTGTGATCTGAGATTGAGCAAAGTTCTTTTGTTTGAAAAGATATGCCAAGTTGCAATGGAATGTACCAGTTTGTATATATGGTGATTGCGGCACTGTTTAGGTCAGGGGCAGTCAACCTGCTCACTACTGCCCACTATTGGCCGGTTTGGGAGTTCAGGTGGGCGGTGGTACATTCTGCAGAAAACGCCCAGTGGACCAAAGCTGGCAGGGAAGATGCAGAGGCAGCCTCTGTGTAAGCCCTCTCGGGCTGGTGAGGAGATCAAAGATCTCCCTTACTGGTCCCCTGGCACTTAATTCCAGCAGAGGGAAGGAAGGGCCTGGGAGGCTCTGTGTTTCGCCCGCAAGCAGCGTTGCTGCTCGTTACCATGGCATGCTGTGCTCGCAGGAGGACAGGAGAGTCAGCCTGCAGCCAGAGGAGCTGCAGGCTAAAGTGAACATGCCACCACTGGACCACCAGGGCTTGCAGCATTATGTCCCCCCTCCCACCCTAGTAAAAGTTAAGAAGAAGGAAGGTGGAGACATTAAGATAGTTTTTTTACATCTCACCCACCTACACACAGCATAGACCCTATGAATCCTTCACACACAAACACACACTACACCCCTCACACACACTGCCCACACTCACACACATACTGCCGCCTCACACACACACACAGACTGTCCCCCTCACACACACACAGACTGCCCCCTACACCCCTCACACACATACTGCCCCCTCACAGAGACTGCCCCCTCACAAAAATTGCCCCCTCACATACAAACTGCCACCCTCACACACACACACAGATTGCCCCCTCACAGACACACACACCCAGGCTGCCTCCTCACACACACACACACACACACACACACACACACACACAGACTGCCTCCATTACACACTCCAACCCTCACACACACACTGAACCTTTCACACACACACACACACACACACACAGACTGCCTCCCTTACACACTCCAACCCTCACACAAACTGCTCCCTTCACACACATACACACACAGAGCACCTCACAAACACACATAGAAAAATAAAATGAATAGAAAATAGGAAAACAATGGGGGGGAAAATAGATAAATGTAAGTACATATTTTTTTTTATTCTTATATTCTTTATGGTACAGCATACCATGTGTTTTGCAGGTGAACAAAAACATAGATTGTAACAATAGGTACACATTGCAGGTATCAACCCAATTTTAGTTTTAATGGGTGGAGGTGCCCTCTTCATCTAGACTTTGGTGTTGTCTTCATCATCTGAGGGGTGCTAATGTGGGGCTTCAGATGCCTGTGTGCTTACTATGGTGGCATAAGTAATCTTGGCATATTTAAGGCATGTATGGAGGTTTAAGTGCTGTGCCACCTTCACAAGCTTGGACTAACTCTGTGGTATACTGTTGACTACTCAGAAGGTCTGAAACCTATGCTGAACGTTTAACATAATTCCTATAGATATTAACTGGAAATAATAACTGTGCATGCTCCATAAAGAGGGGGAGGGGAGGGGAATAGGTCAGATAATAGGTTGGTAGCTTACAGAGCCAAGGTAGAGCAATCTACAATATCATAAACTTTTTAAAACATGTAGTGAGTACTATAATGAGTAATTTAACAAGTGGCAAGCCTGGAGATGCGCCACTGCAGGTATCAGGTAGGCAAGGTAGGTGCTGTAAGCGTTCTGCATCCCGGAACAAAAGTGTGATATGCGCAACATTCCAAGATGGCCACCACGTTATCAGTGGGTTTTCCACCTGTATGCCCAGGTTCTGGAGGAAGGTTGGTGCTTCCATGGGGTTAGATAGCAGGTGGGTCTTGTAGGCCTTTTCCGCTGGTAACCGATGCGGACCCCATTTGTAAGGGATTAAGTGCTCTTACAATAGCTGGGTAATTTGGTAATTTGAGAGACCTCCGCCACATAAGGGTGTATCTGAAGAAGTCCCTGTATAGTGCCAGCTGTGCCCCTGCGACACCATAGGATAGACTCTCACTGCTCCCATGAGCACCCCCTTGTCAGAGCCTCGTACAAGCTTTAGTAGGATGTCTCGGGTTGCGTCTTGGCGTGCTGTGGTAGCCCTGGTGAGTCAGTAGCAGGAGTCCACCGTCAGTTGCTTGGCTTGCTTGGGTGTTAGTAGCGTGGAAATAAGCCTCCTGCAATAGTGAGGGAGTCCAACTCCTGAAATCGTCTCTGGCACTCCTTGGATCCTCAGATTTCGGGCCCTTGCCCTATCCTCCATATTGGTCACTTGTGCCTGTTGGTTGGTGCATTGTTTTTGTAGAGCCCCCAGTGCAGCATCAATGGCCATTTGCACTAGACTGGTGCCCTCCATGCTTTCCTCCACTGCCAGCACACGTGGCAATCGTTGAGATCTCTTCGTGGACTGGTGCCATGTCCGCATTAAACATGGCCTTAATCTCCAGCATCAGTGCCTTGATGTCAGCCTTGGTAGACCGAGCTGCGTCTCCCAGCTCTGCAGGTGTCTGTGGCCCTGAACGTGTCCGAGATGGGGCTGGAGGCTTTGCATAAAAGCCGTCCTCTTCCGCCGATGGTGAGGCGCCATCTTTGAAGTTTCAGGCCGCGGGATTGTGCGCAGGAATTCCCTGATATCTTGGGAAACCGATCCCGGGTCTGCCTGTTGTTTTTGATTTTTTTTCCCCATAAATTTGGCCACCCGGCTGCCTCTTCCAGTGCTCAGGATAGGTGCCAGGTAAGGCAATATTCAGGCAGATTACGGTGAATAGGTAGAGCTGCCTCGAGGTGCATATTGCTTGGTCAGGCGCTGGCTCCGCCCCCCGTACATTTCCTTTTTTTTTTTTTTAAACCCTCCTTTCTAAAAAAAAAAAAATTTAAATTGCACTTGTGCTATAAAATTAGTTACTGAGGCACTGGTGGGTAAGGAAATTTTACCACCAACAAAGATAACAAAAGTGGGTGGTAGGTATTAAAAGGTTGACCACACCTGGTTTAGGTTATGCCTCTCTGCTAACTCTCCCCCTATATGGATACATTTAAATACAGTTACCTTCTTACCAAACAAGGGGCTTGTTTCCATGCTTGTCACAATAATATAGTGGCAGGTTGATAATTGCTAAAATTATGTTAGTAATTCTATTTCGCTGCTACAAAAATGTAACATTTAACAACTAATAATTGGTGGCTGCTCCACAACCCAAATACAAAATAAATTAAAATAAACTGTTTAGTAGATATACCCCAAATGAAAACTTGCACGCATTTAATTATTCCTCTGTTCATTAGGGGTATATATAAAAACAACTTGCAAAACCTAATGAATAAAAGCAAGAGAATATACTGGTACAGTCCAAAGGGCAGCTAGGTCACCAAATCCAGGGTCTCTCTTGTCTCGTAGAGAAGCAGATAAAAACAATGAGGGAGGTGCAGCGTCTGGAATGTGCTTGGCGTGTATATATAACCATAAAAATTAGGAAAAATATGAAGTACATAATACATACAGATAGTAAATAAAATGATATGCACTCACATGCTTTAGGAGCTTAGGTGCAGCTCCAACATAGATGCTTAGGTGGAATAATCCCCGCCTGAGAATATGGTGGAGTACAGACTCTATAGGAGGTGCTTGTGGATGCAGCTTCTGTGTTCTGGAGCCTATAAAGCGGCTCCACAGGTATGGCATGAAGTTGGATGATGCCCACTCTAGAATATAGGTGCTGGTGGTCTCGCTCCGATTATACAAGTAAAAGAGAAAATAAAACCACAATAGTGTAGACTGTAAAAAATGTGAAAAATAAAATGAAATAGGTAAAAACTATTCACATTTGATAGAGCAAATAGGGATTGCTCTGTCCAGCAGGCTTAAGTGATATTATCCCCACCAAGGATATGCAGTACAGGAAACCAGCAGCAAACAGGTTTAATAAAAAAGTATTTTTATTGATAAAAAACAATAAATGGTAAAAAAAAAATTAGGATAAAAGAACTTTATAAAGCAATATTTAAATATACCTAGTGCGTTTCACCATACAATGGCTTTCTCAAAAGTGTTCCATAGCCATTTTATGGCGAAACGAGTTAAGTGTATTTTTTTATTATTTATTGTTTTTGGACCTGTTTGTTGATGGATTCCTGTACTCCATATCCTTGATGGGGATAATACCACCTAAGCTTTTTGGACAGAGCAATC